ACTGTACCATACCCAAATTGACAAAAAAGGTACAAAAGATTAAAGACAACAGGTAAAAACCACACCTAGAAAGTCATTTGTATCACATTTATCAATAGTTGTTTGCTTTATTTGACCTCCATTATGTAATCGTTATTTGCGGTGAAAGGACTATTTCATTCGATGCCAATAATTTAGTCAAAGTCTATAGAAAAGTCAGCAGGTTAGGTTTAAATTACTATGGATCGATAGGAACCCAATTAGGCTCACATTTGATTACTGGAAATGATTCGGAGAGATTGATACTCAGATGTTATGAAAAGGCCCATGAATCGACTGTAGCTAATCGAATCCGTTGGACGAGAACTATATAGGTTTCACTTGATCGTTTAAAATATTATGAAGCTTTATTAAACTTTTCACCGTCTTACTGGGTACTGCCGGATTTATTCTTCTGTTTTACTACCATTGGGCTCAATTATTGATCCCGATCTAAGCTCTAGATGAATAAATAGACTCCTCGTTCATGGCTCGAATGCCGACATCATACCTCAAGTGCTCAATAACCCGATCACCACCGGAGCCAGCATATATTAATCCACACTAGTAGAAACTCCGATGATGCCAGGTGACACTAAGGGAGAATCAACCAAGACTTCGCTTCTAAATTTCATGAATCGAAGCTGATCCCAGGCAGATTTGTTAGCTCTGTGTGGATGATGAGATTACTGAATGAATGGATTGCCAAAAATGCATTTTAAATTGTAAAACAGTTAAAAAATGAAAGAGTTACATAAAGCAATATAGTTTAATTTTTTGTGCCAGCGACTGAAATGACATGAACATTATCAAGGCAATATTCAGAGGCTGAAACGTTTTGCTATTATCTTACTTCTCGTACTTCAGTACATGCATATTTATTGTGTAGTTGATAATGTTATCATCCTCGCTAAAATCAAACCTTCCGTTTTTCTCTTTTAGTAATCCTGACCTTGTGCACTGCACATATGAGAGTTGATATAAGCTATTCTACTTTAATGTTGGTATTGTATTGGCAATACGTTATCAGTAGTTAAGAACACAACGTGAGAAGTCGAACCAACGAGTAACCAATAATACTGTTCGATTATTGAGTGTGGGGCACAAAAATTCAAAATACACTTCAGGTTCCTGATATTGCACCACATCATTTTTAATAAGTCAGTGCACCTACTGTGCGTGAAATTAAACTAATTACCACAAAATAATTTCAAATACCCCAAAACCCAAATACATGCTATTTCACTATAGGAGGTAATTGAAAAAAATGCTAACCAATCATGATCTGTCAAATAATTCTCCTCGATCGTTTGTATTGATCCCATGCCGTTTCTGGAATAGCGATTAAAACTGTTTTTTATAACGGTCGATTGGGATATGATTGGAAATTTCACAATTGCACTTGTTCCAGTCTGGATAGACGAAGAATAAAGCATAAAACGTTACTGGTAGTCACAAGCTTACTTGCGAAGTGCGTTTATGGCCTTAATTTATGCCCATTGAATAATTCATGATTTAAAATGGTTCCATATTATTGCGCCTCGATTGGTCCCATTTTGCGAACCATTCCTGATAAAAAACCGCAAACATTCGAATACTAATAACATTTCGTTTATACAATAACTGCAAATATACGAAGGCCAATTGCCTACATTTTGCACTACAGAAAGTGAAATGAACAGAACGTAAGTAACAATTGTGAATACATAATAAATTCTTGATGATACCACTTTGTGCCCCTTAGCCATGCTAACCAACTGGAGATGTCGATTTGACGAATTTCACCCATAGTCTTTTATAGTACAGCCTGCTTAGAGTTAACAGTCACTCATGTCTGTTTGATGGAACCAAATGTTCTGCAAGGTGTGAAGAATAAAGTTTACATTGCTTAGTAAACCATTTGGTTGAGACCTGCACTCAACCAGGAGCAACGGAAGGCTGTCAAATTTTCGCGTGAAATCTGGATTGTAAACTCCTTGAAATAAATAAAATAAAAAATGTGTTTTTACTTCCTTTTCTATTTATTCAATATACGAATGTATAGTCAGCTTTCAGGAAGGGGACCGCTGCCATATGAAAGCTGCCTGGGAAAATACAGAACTAGAGAGATCGGTCGACGGTGGAACGATTCGAACCCGGAACAACCAGGTTTCAAGTTGGTGACCTAACCACCTGGCCACCACCACCGTAGATGAAGTAGCTAAGTCAGTGTTGTCTCCATAGTTATGAATACCTAGATCTATCCAATCAAGGTAGTAACATGTTTTTCCTAGGAAAGAATTCGATTGCCTTTACGAGGAGTGCGTATTCATTCACGTGATAAATAAGTATATTTCAAATGTTTATTTCCCTCAATGTGATCTCTTTGGAAAGCAGCGTTTGGTAAGAGCGTCATTTCGTAAGCATTATGAACACCATTGCAGTCGGCTTTTAATTCATCCATTGGATAGCAATTGCCAAAAGACTATTTATCTCACTGAACTTCTTATTTTCATTTTCATACGCTAAACATTTGTACAAATTATTTGAATTCATGGAAATTAAAAATCCGCGTTTTTGGCTAAAGGTAAGAAAATCGCAGAACACTTTATGAAACATGTTTTCATCTGTTTGTATTTATGCTCATGTGATTCAGGTAGAGTTAGAGTTAGATTTGGGGTCATTACTTAACGATTGTGGACATAGAGCCTACATTTTTCTCTTGATTAGAGTGATAAGCTTACTGCCTGTCCTTCCTAAATTAGGGCCAAATGACAAACACTACATTCTACCAAATTATCCGCTTGTGTTCTAACGTAGTTCCAGTTCTGAACCAGTAAGGTTTGTCGACACAACCTCGAGCGTGAGAAGTGAATGACAGCCGCCAACGTTAAAAACGGATGCTAATACTTTAACCGGGCATGCAGGAAGTCCAAGCAAGTAGGTAAGCGTCACTTACAGTTCACGTTTAGCCGCTCTTTAAGATGTAACCGGTAATAGCTGAGGTTTAAAAATGGCAACAATGAGCACAATGTTGTATTACCCGACATTGTGTTGGGTGTCTTCCTAATCACAGTACCAATGATACGTAAATTGCCAGCTGTTCCCACCCAACGAAGTGGATACTTTGATTGTATGATACATCCATCTAATAGTATCACAAGTGCAGTATATAATGAATATCTCATATAGGGTTTGATGGTATCCGGAAAATATTTTGAATACGAGATTACTGTTCGGTTATCCGGTGTTTGATTCTGTCTTGCATCCTCAATCTTTAGTTGTTTTGGTCAAGATTTCTACGGGAAAGAATTGCCCAATATCGCTATTCTACTAACCTCAAACGTGTTTGGGGTAAAGGCATTTTGGCTGATACTTGCAAAAGTGATACCGCAAAAGAAAAAGCTAAAAGTGAAACAGCTTACACCGGGATAAATAAACCGGGCGTACAGCTCGGAAGAGGAGCATGTAGGAATAACAACCGCCTGGTTTTCCTTTCTAAAATTTAATTATCTGAATGTAACTGTGAACCCCTTTGTAAAAACGTGCACCTACATGACTTAACAGAGTTACTCAATTACTTTGACAATCCTTTTCTGTATGATCTGATATGCGTTCATTTTTCACAATACCCGTGCGGATTTTATTCAAAGCCGTGATCTAGCTTCAAAACGTTTGCATTATTATTTAAGAATATTCCTCATTGTTCATTTCAGCAAAACTGTTTGAGGGATTATTCAATAAAAATCCCGTTTTGACAATACACAGCTATCAAGTCTTATTCGGAAAATAAAACGAGCTTAACGGTCTCATCACAGTTGCTAGTCATCGGTACCGCGACTCTGGAGCACCGAGTGGGGCGCTGGTACAAGCACTGTAGGGGCGAACAATTCAACGGTCCAAGTAGTTGCCCATCCGTAGGTATCTTTTCAGTGAAAAGTGAACGCTAGACTGTCCATAATACAGCCAGATTGAATACATAAATAAATCTTCCCTTGTAGTTCCATATAAACAAATCCACACCAAGCAGTTTTCCAGTGTCCCATTTTGTCGAAGCTGTACTGCTTATCAGAACGTTTATTACTGTCCGGTAAGGTCTAGTCATTTGGAAGCACTGTGTTACAAATGGGCTGTGTTTCTTAGTGGATGCGACAGACATGATGCTGAGGGATTGCACCAGGTGGTCATATCGGGTACACTATTGAATAAACAATTGTTCTTGGTCTAGTTTGAATCCCACAGACTGTTTATTTTTCTTCTGTAGGGGAAAGTAATTGCTGTATGATGATTTGGTGGTTCTTTGGGCAATGTGCAGCATTCCGACTGTAAATGACGAATTAAGCCGGGAGACTAAACCTTGATATAGCCATGTGATGGAAGGAGCGAAGTGGTTCAGATTGTTTTCATTAGGGTCATTTGGGTTCGTGACTTGAACCTTGCATTGGACAACCAATTTCGGTAGTATCTGGATTCGCATACAACCTGGTCAATATCGCACGCCTATTCTGCTGGATCTCCGTATAGCACACCTCTCTGTGTCCAGACTTTGTTTGGTGATCACCCTGAGTGAACACAAGGTCCACGCGACTGTGGTGTTTACACCCACATTTCATCATATCGGTTGAAAGCAAGCATGTGCCAGGCGAACCGTTGAAACACTTTTTCATGGGCAATGTGTTTAAAGTTTTTTTTTCATTTTGACGAAATCCGTAACATTCTGTGCAAGTTTGCATCAAGTAAATTAGATTAGTAAACAATAAACCTTTTTACAAAATTGTAAGTGTTTTACAATTAATCTCATGAAGTCTGACATACTAGTACGGTTTTATATATTTCTAAAATTTCCTTGGCATTTTTTTCTGGCTGCCAGTTTTCCAAAACTTAATACTTACTATTCTCCTGCACTGTGCTTGCTCATTTCATATCTTTTTGATTGCAATAATCACTCGCATTAAGCAAGAACGTCAGTTCTCTATCTGTTTCGTTGTGCACACCCCATACAGGAATTCTCTCAAAATGCCGTTAACGATACAACGCCCAATTCCGGCCAACCGCAATTACGGCGAGCTACCGTGGGCATTGAACCCCCTGGGCTTCAAGCTGAACTAAATGGATCCATTACCGTGGTTCGTGGGAACGAGGAACGAACAGATGCCACCGTTCCGAGACGCTTACTGCGTTGGTGGCGTCAGAACAAACGCCGTTCGGTGGTCGATTCGAAGCGTCGGCAATCTATGGGATTTATGAGTATGCATTGCCCTGATCCGGCCAACGGCCTACCTCCAATGGAGCTACGCACTCGTGGGAGTAGCATGCCACCGAACGAAAGCCGAACAAATGGTACAACAGATGGCAATCAGTATGCCGGACGTTCGTCTAATCGTGCAAGTCTGCGGTTGCATCAGACTCCTGCGAACGGATATCATTCCGAACAAGCCCCGATGAATTACCATAGTTTAGCCGATCAATCTAACATACGCCCAGCTTTCACCTCTGTTGCAAATGCCACCCCACATCCGATTCAACCCCCCGTCTATCAGTACGTCCCTATCTTCCCTCCAAATTGCATCAGTGGGCCAAATGGAGCTGATATGATCGAGGTGGGTGATGCCGGATTATTGAGCATAGAGCAAAATTACATTATTTACTCAAATCCAAAAGAATAAATTAATAATAAATTATTAAATAAACCTAGTTGACCTAATTACTGGCTCCACTTTATAGCTATGCTTTCCCTTGAAAGTAAAAGGTTAGTGAAACGAGCTATTTTATCGCTACTTGTGAACCGGATAGTACATGTATATCCATGGTAATTGTCCCAAAACTATACCCAAATTTTATTTGATACGCGGTCAATTATGAATACTGAGTTAGTATGCATTTAAATGTTTCTTCGAATGTACCCAAAAGTTGCTCTTAACAATGCGATGCACACTGTTTCACTACTGGCTACCTTATTTATCTCCAGGTTTGTTGGCACATATGCCTGGGAAAATGCTTACTCCACCCCTACCAATCTATGCTCCGGTGGTTGGAGTTAATTTCTAATCAGTTGGTCCCAATTAGTGAGTGTGCAGTCGATAACGAGAAACTTCTTTCTGTCGATTGGTGAGATTATTTTTAAGAAAAAAGGGAAAGATTATTGACCGAATATGGTACACATGATTAGGTCTTTATATACACAAATGTATAAACTACTCTTTGATAAGCTCAAACTGGCTTCACAATTTCATCCTGGATTATCGGCTGTAGGTGAATTTTTCAAGGGAAAGCATACATTCAATAAGCTCGGATTTTTGACTTCTTCAAAATTACCTGTGAACCAGAATGGTGAAGCCGCGTATTCCACTGATTGCAAAGACAAATGTGCCCTATTTATTAAAAACACATATTGTTATTGATGTATCCCCTGACTCAAAGGATTCTCATGTGAGAAAACATGGGCCACGTTTGAAGATTTTCAAAACTGACTGGAATTCTGGTAACCAGTGAATAAGGAAAATTGATAAGACAAAGTTTGTTCGGGGAGGGAATGGTACTTCACAAATTCTCTCTGTATTACGATTTACCTTGTGCATTAGTGAATGATAGATCATGAGAAGTATTGATAATAGCGGGTGGATCTGTGCTTGCGAGGACTATAGTCCCATAAACCAGCTGCACCGAATAATCGCTGTGTTTGCATGATCTACAGAACACAAAACGCTCCCCGTAATTCTGGTGGATCCCTACGGTTGGTTGAACAGTCGAAAGTAACATTCTCTTCAACGCCAAAGTTCAACTAAAGCTCCACTACATATTTGCAATGAATACCGAGTAAACTCTCTTTGGATAGGGGGATCACAAAACCTCGTGCAACAACCAACGTTTGGCTATTCTATAAGATATACTTTTCCACGCGTATACAAATTCTTCCTTGCTTCCATTTTTGGGATACCCAAACAATTCATTATTCTGTACATTGACTTTACCCAGTTTTATATCTTTCCACCGTTCCGTTACCACTAAACGCACATTTCGGCTGCTTGTATCCTAACTCCATATATCAGGTGTGGTCATACAAAGACACGTATGAATACTGCACGTAAAGTAAATTGGTAGTGAATCTAGCAGAATATCTTGTATGAAATCTTTCGCGTTTTACTACATCCTCAGATATTTATCTTTTGACCTTTACTTGCTCAACCGCGTGATCATCCGCGATTTTATGTATTCTAATTGGCACATGGTTGATGATGTTTTTCTTCAGGTAAACAGTAGTGATTACAAAATCGCTCCCGCGAGGACTGCTTAATGGTGATAACTCTCATTTTTTTCGCATAAAAGGGACGCCATTTGACATAATGACTTTGCTATTTTTTGACTAATTACAACATCAGAGCGTTGAAAAATTATTGCATATGAAATTTTGATGTCTGCTTTACATTCAGGGAACTTGACAGAAAAATGAAATACCAAGTAGACGTATACATAGTAGTGCGCCTTCGTACATATTCTAAATTCGATAATACTCGTACGTTAATTATAAACTAGTATAGGTGAGTATGAACACACGATTTACAGTTTTGTCGTGCATTATCCAGAGACTAAAAAGTTTGGCTGTTGTTCAAAACCCAAGGATTGCTCGATTCAGATGCGCAAATTCTCCAATGAATACATATTACTTGTTATCAGATGGAGAGCACTATCAGCGGCTTATTTGATAAACAAACAATGATAGACGTCCTATCGGGTGTAGATGAAGCATTGTGAAGGTCATTTGAACAACCAAACGATGAGAGTAGCATGATAAAAAAAAATATTTCTGCACTTCTTAGTCTGTTCCCAGATACGTTTCCAGGGAAATGTCATAAGCACTATACCTTATGATGCGATGGTTGAGAGGTATACATTCTTGCTGCTTAATGATGATCAATAATCCGAGAAATACTCATTCTCTCCTTGGTTAGGTTGTGTGGGCGTGCTAAACGGCATCAGTTTGGACGTGAATATTTCCCGCTGAATCGTGTTGATTATGTTCAAACACACTATTGATAATGACACCAACAGAGAATCAATGTGTAGATACAGTTTTTCGTTGGTTAGGCCCTTTCTAGTGCGTTGATTAGAATGAAATTCGATTTTACAAGATTTACTAAAATGAGATATACAAAATGTAGAAAAAAACGGACTTCTGAGTATCGTCTAGCAAACCACACAGGATGATCAAAATATAGTAACTCAAATATTCAATAATTATATCGATCAAATTATCGGTCTTTTTGGTTAATATTTGATTGAGGCATACCTCTCCAATCGTCTACCGTCTTGTTAGAAAAACGATGGCCTCGCGATTCTTGTTTGCAAACTGCTGTCAAGTGTGTGTTTGGTGTGAAAGGGTTGTATAAGTTCATTGTGCTACAACGCAATGAAAACGTGATGATTGATGACCATCTAGGAGTTTTCCCGTTGATAAATCTTCCATAGAACGAGGAAAGTACGGAGAAAATTATTTGGTTGGTGTTGGAATTCGGGCGATTCTGAATTAGAAACATTTTGGTTGTGTAGTTGTGCCAACAATACAATACAATGAAGAATAATTTTTCAGCGGTTTATGCAGTCATTGCAGAGTAAGAGAATTCGTAGAAAATAATTTCCTTGAAAATAGCTGGATCAAAAACATGACATCGAAATCTCGGAGGTTTTACATTTAAAGTTGTATAGTAGGTAAAGGTGTATGGCAGAATCACCAAAACAATTTTTCGTGGTGCGTATGTCTCAACCGAACTCTCTGACACGAAATTGAAAAATGTGTTGCTTGTATCTTGAAATCGAGTACCGAATCTTTGTATGTGTGTGTATGTATGTATGTATGTATGTATGTATGTATGTATGTATGTATGTATGTATGTATGTCAGATGTATGTATGTATGTATGTATGTATGTATGTATGTATGTATGTATGTATGTATGTATACTTCACATGCGTCGGAGTCCATACAATGTACCAAAGAAATCACAGTATAATAATCATTATAACAGGGAAGTAATTGTACTTTTCACAGGTGAATGTTGTTGCCCGATATCGGATACACATATCTAATAATCGGTAAGAACCGAGGAAGAACCATATTCTTTTAAGAAATTGTGTTCACTCCGTCATAGGCTACTCACACATTATTCTTTGTTTGAGAGTTGAATACTTACGAAGTTAGTTACATTTTAGCATGTTTGTTGGTCTTTGGTAGATTTGTGGCAATTCTGTCACTCTTTACTAGTACTGCCTAGTGGTCTGTCTAATTCAACAGAAGCTTTCCAACTATGATGATCCAAACGTAATTGTCGATATTTGGCAATCAACTTCACTATATTTGATCCGTTGTATTTTTGATGGGTGAGTAACCGTTTAAAAAAATCTGATTTATTTGTAAATTCATGACCCTCATGAGCTAGTGCATTGAATCATGTACGCAATTTGCGCAGTTAAATAGGAGACATTTCGTCATCCTCACACGCACACACACATTCGGAGGGCTCATACATATGAAAACATAACCGTGCCTGTAAGCACGTTATGGAGGGTAGTTGTGCAACTCGTGATGAATGACTGAATCGATTTTCCATCAACTGATTGAATTCATAATGAGAATTGAAGGAAAATGTGTCCTCGCAAACCGGTAGACCATCTCGATTGAGGAGAAATTTGAAAACAAACGCTGACCTTGTCTTGCTATTTATACAAGGTAAATACACTGGCCTGAAGCAAATCAAACTGAAGGCAAATCGCGGGATGATTTTTGCTCTAGGCATTATGAATTTAATCAGTATTATGGTTTTCTAGTCAATAGCGATACAAAGCATCTAGATCCGACGGATACTTTGTTGAGAATGGTGTAAAGATTCATGTATTATTCGTCAAGATTGAAACAATGCATCATTCTCTCCTACAGTTTCTTTCGATTGACCAAATGTTTTCCCGGCTGAATTCCCAAGACTGCTTTCTTGACATTAAACTAATCCGAAGGTTTAGTAAATAGGGTATATAGTCGGGTAGGGCGATAAAAGTAAAAACAACATCGCTTCAAATTTGCATAAGAATCTTCAAAACAGAAACCGATGCTTTGCGACTTGCTGACAGAAATCTTGACATGGTATCAATGTGTTCTAATCATCTAAAAGATCGAGAATTAGTAAGTAATAAAACCAGTTTTGTACCATGCACGTCAATCGTATTTGCGCCATACAGCTACACAAAATGAAGTTTGCTATGGTTTGCATACAGAAACTGAGAGTTCTTTCTTGCTTTTGCCGTCCAGAATAATCAGTTCTTGTTCAATTCCATCGCTATAAAATAAGAAAACATTGACAATGACGAAGCCGTTCAACCAAGCACATTGCTTCAGGAAATTGGAATTGGTTCACAGCGTAGTAGTTTTTAAATAACTAAAAGAAATCTAAGATACCGATCTCCGAGGGAATCTCTTGGTGTTTTTTTTGCCAAATATGTCTCACCGCACTGTCGTTCGAACGCAAACTGATTAAGAACAGAAATCTGAAATGTCTAGTTCATCATTCGGCTTTGGGGGAAAAAAGCGGTTGGACGAAGACGTATGTTGATCAGTTAGTGCACGCAACTAGCATGAAAAGACTAAGAAAAATCCTGTAAACTACGCTCAAAACGACTTTGTGATCGACAAGGATAATATTTTGTTCTTCAGTTTATCAACATAAAATTCAGATTTAGCGAAAATGGCCATACTTAACACTGAAAGAAATCCGTTTATCCATTGACTGATAACCCGAAAGCAGGTCCCGAAAACGTTTCTTTCTTGAAGGATACATTTATCTTCGTTATTATTATTGAATTTTTTGCTGTTTTGTGACACAGTACGTGTTCTAACTGACCACACTTTCGAATTCTAGCGCATTTCTACTTGTTTTCGTCATTTTTCACTGTATTTCTACCTCATATCTTCAATGACTGCAATGTAGCAGATGACTTGGTGACGGGCAAGCAATTCAGATATTTCAGTTCTTTGATTCCAAGAAAAAATGTGCAAGGTTTTAAGAAAAAACGAAGGTATATATATATATATTCGGTCAATACCAAATCAACAACGAAAGTGAATAATGTTTTTTTGTTCCTGGCTGTGTCCACAGAAATCCATTCTCCCATGTTCCCAACGGATTCACTTTTTCCCATGTCAACAAGTGACCACGACTAACACGAGTTCCAATAATAATGCGAATCCTGCAAAAGCCGATACCCACATGGCAGCATCCACGGCGCTCGGGTTTGCCCCTTATATAAATCAGGGCGATGGCTCAGTGCATGCGTGTCCATCGGTGGTTGAATCCGGTCTTGGATCGCTGAATCCACACAACTTGACCCCGGCAATCGGTAAAGGGCCACCAAGTCGATGGACCACAGTTCGGTGTCGACCTCTCTGTTCAACGACCCTGGCTGAGCGATGCACTTCTCCACCTCCTCTTCCTCCCCGAGTCACAATGGCCGGGGCTCGAATAGATCCGGTGCACGCTGCTGTCCTGACCAATATGAGGCATCAGATGCAACATTCACGAGTTCCCCAAGGCACAGAATGGACTCGATCCGGGCTCGCGATGCTCAGTAATGGGTCAACTGTTTTGACTGGTCGACGCGGTGATCAGAGGATTGCAAGGCGCGAAATGTCCAACCCGAACGGCCCCATTCTAACGACTGTACAAGCAGCACCTCATTTTGAACCTATTCACTCCAGACAGATGGCTGGAAAACAATCAAAACGATGGAATGCGTCCCAGGTGGTAGGTTATTGACAAGGGATTATTTGTTTCAGTTAGGCCAATACAAAATCTTCACAATGTATTCAGTTCAGCGATATCCGTTTACGGTGTAAAAGCCGAGAATGAATATTCGGGGTGGACTCCGAATACAACACAACCTGGAATTTTAGACAGAGACAAATATGCAATTTGTCAGGTGAAAGCAAATTTCTTGAATTTAACAATGAACACAGAACCAGTGCCGGGGAACAAGTCTGTGAAGATCGTCATGAACAATCTTAGAAAGGCACTTCCATTTGAAACGTTAAGAAGCAAATAAACCAAGTTGTGAATTTTCTATAACATTGTATAACTTGTTATCTGTGAGTTAGAATCATATTGCAAGCGTTTATTGAGAAGAATTAATCTTTTGTTGGGACACTTGCATGCAAGGCATTAAGCCATCGTATAAAGGGAATATTATTCCTCGTCTTCAGTTTTCAATTAAATGATCTCATGAGCCATCCGATAAATTATTTATCAAACAACCGTGTTTATTTCTTTCAACTGAGAACATCCATTATAAAATATCAGAACCGTGAAACCCCCACCACCATGAAACCGGAAAAATGTTTGAATCATATATGTAATTTTGTTCTTAGGGAGCGTACTCTTTATAAAAATGTAGTGAATTTATCTTTTACTTCTATTTTTCTCTCCATCTTGTTTTCTGTTGACAACGCAACCCCAAACGCTTGCTTATTTGGTTCAAGTTTAGACTGAATGAATTGAATTTGTCATTTTCTGATGTGTACTGTCCATCTGGGACAGACAGGTTATTAGGAAGCTAACCTGGGCAGTGAAAAACGTCTAATTGCTCGGCTTATCGTTTTTATATCCTTTTCAGACATTCACTCCAATTCCAAAATCACACCCAAATGCCGATTTCAATTCCCGAGCCCGATTTCCGTCCGTTGGCAATCCCACCACCTCTTCGCGAATCATCAACGGGTACGAGATTTGTCCACAAACCGCGGCGTTTGCTCCGCGCAGGGTCCAATCGGCTAATGTGCGCACACCAGCCTGGGGGGATCAGCTGGTACATCCGTCCGAGTCTACCCGAAATCCTTTTGTAGAACCGCTATGGCAACTACGGCTAGGGGGGCAGTTACAAAAGGACCATCCCATGTTTACGGTTGGTCCAAGTAACGGAACGGGTAAAACTGGTCGAACAGTAGTACCACAGACTATTGATCATTCGGTGAGTAAAAACAATCTCCTTGAAATGTCAACCAAAGAACCTTGTGTGACAGGTCATTACAATTTTTCATTCAACATTCAATTAGTCACGTAGGATTTCGTCTCGATGGAACACAATCGGACACAAACTCTTTCAATGAGGACTAATATATTTGTGGGCTTGATGATCAATGTATGGTTCCATATTTCTAATGTAAAATTCACAAATTACCGTCGTTCGTAGCTAAAAACTGTATAAGAGATTGTCTCAGTGTGACGATTGATGTCATGTATATATATGTATATCTTTCCTGCAAACAAGTATATGAACGGGAAAGACGAAAGACTACCAGATACACCTGCCTGACGAGCCGAAAGAACCGCAAAAGCGGTCATTTGCTTCCACAGAAAGATTGTCCAGTCATCCATATACTATTCATTGTAAAAAAAGTGTATTTATTGAGCAATACGACATTATATACGTGTGACAAAGTGAAAACGCTGAAGAACTAATGGTGGGATTCCTGGACAAAAATACCACTGAAAGATAAGTGAAGTTCCGTTCATGAAAAAATACCGTTCTAACGTGAATCCATAAAATATGCCTAAGAAGGTAAAATGTCCTAGAAGAATCAGATTACATTAGGCGTGGAAGCAGGTGGTGGTGTCTCAGTGGTTTAGTTGCGTGCTCGGGACACTTTGGTCCCAATTCGAATCCCGCCATAACCACTGAAGCTTGGTACCTTCACTGTTGTGCGGTTTACTATCACGCATATCCAAGTGGAGCTGAATGGAGTTCACCATTCCAAGTCCCGATATTAAGTTACCGGTTTTCATGTTCGAATATCTCAGGTGTAAGTGACTATGGAGTGCTTCTGTCCGCTATTAATCGCACAAGACATGTGTTCAATAAAGTTTATGGAAAATACGTTTCGTTGACACACATGAACGCATGCAACAGTTCATTGTAATAGTCTCCTTCCTCACGAGTAGTTGGACATTATCCTTTGTGTCGATGTATCGGACGGTTATCTTAGATCAGCGCTCAAGGACACAGCACGTCGCAGCAATCCCCTCACCAACTAACTAGCTATTTTAATACTGTCGTTTGTGTGACTTTTCTACAGGAAAACCGTTGGTTTGTGGTAATGGCCAGTAGAATAAGTGTTCTAGGTAACAGTGTACCAATGTCTTTCGGTAAACACAGAATCGTGTTATTCAGTTTTGATGGTTTTGTATGATGATTGACTGAACTATGCGTCTCTGGAACACCGGTGCCACTGAACATCTACCCTCAATACAATTCAATCGAAGCAAACAACGTGACCGTTTGAGCATATCAACACATCGACATGCATTTATTTGTGGACGCAAAATGATTTTCGTTTTATCTAGATCACGCGTCGTATTATTTAAGACCAATTTTCCGCATCAAATGATGCGCATTGTTTTGAACGCAATTCGGCTCCTAGCGTGCTCACTGAATTGCACCGGGTGGTGGTAACAAAGTTCAAAACACATCCCGTGACACCACGTAAACACCTCAGTTCTAGTTTTGGATGTGAATGGAGCGTCCAAATAGTTTACTCGTATTCGGTTTAGAATAATAAATCTGTTTCGAAATCTATGTCATGGCAGGTAAGTCTATAAGGGGAAATAATTTGTCACCAAGATGCTTTGCAGTTCAAGTTGAATTGAGATTATCAATAAGGGTGTGTACGTTGCAGAAACAACTGTGCAATTAAAGGATAAACAGGTATAGAGCAATAAAGTATTTGTTGTCAAGTCAAATGCCGACTGAAACGTCTGATGTGAGGAACAGGATGAACTGCTGAAGCCGGTCTGAAGAAGGCTGCATGATATCTGTTACAAACATCACCTATGGATTTATGTATCGCACCAATTATCCTAGTTATTAAAACGAATGAACATCGGATCGTGCTTTGTAAACGATTATCTTAAGTGTAACTCTCACGCTGCCATTTTCATTGCATAGTAATCGTATCTGGGGAAGTTGTAAACTGTGGAAATGAGAGTGTGCAATTACCTGTTTTTAATTTAGTCGCAAACAAATCCAATTTGTTTTGGTAAACAACGGTAAACAGCCGACAGTCAACCATTCCGTCAGCAGTAAGGGGAAATTTATAGCAGTCGACTGTTAAAACAATTCAATCGCTGATCAAAAGAGAAATGGACTGAAAAAATGAAAATAACTGATAAGCTATTTGATCTAGATGGGTCTCATTAGCTGTAGGTTGATCACAAATGTACCCAGGCGTGTAATATAATACTAGCAGTTATTAGCATTTCATGGTATGGGAGTAATGTGAAATTTGACGAGAATTAAGTATCTTTACATGTTTTGCGAATCGGTATAAATGATTAAAAATAATAATTTGCATAGCCAGAAGTATCTATGCTACCCCGAAAGTTTATTTGAATGGGAAGTACGGTGTTATCTACCACGTATCATCCGATTTCTCATCACAAATGCTTGACTTTGAGTTTTCCGGAAATAGGCTCGGAGTAGAAGGACGTTTGGGTAAAAAGTTAAACATTTTCAGGAATCTGTTATTGCAATCGGCATTTTTGTAGTCTTCTAGGTCGCATAATTTCAATCAGTTTGATTAACTAATCAACTCACCCCCGATGTTCGTGCATGAAACAATATCTTCTTTTCTTATTAATGAAAGTGCAATTGTTTACCAGAGTGGCGTTCCGAGTGCGGAATGGACGACGCAAAAGACAATCCTAAGTATTTAGGCCGTTACGTGTGGATAACTTCGGCTGTTTGATTCTTTAATATGCTGCTTGTGTAGATTTTCAGAATTCTTTCCCATATGGTATTTCTTACCTGGGGTAGTCAACACCTGAATATCTCTTTAGAAATGATAACCCAACGATCATCTTAAGTAACCAAGTATCGAATTCTAATGTTTAAGCACATGTTAGCTAGATTGATTTGTCTGTAAATGATTGAAACTAAATTCTGGTAAATTTCCAGTTTTGGTGACTACCAAGCAATCGGACTAACTTCGTGAATGAAATTAAAGAATACAAAATGATTAATTATTTGTTACCTATCGAGGCTGTTTTCGGTTAATTGACAGGTGCCTTTTTCAATAAAAACTCACATTGTCTGAGTTTTCTGTTCTTCAAAACCTACTTATAATACCGAGACCAGCCATGAAACACAGTGAGTACACAGTACGATTCGAGGTTTTAAGTACTATACTGTCTATTTGGTTTGCAATCTGTAAAACATTTCAAATTTAAAGAATAATGATAATCCGAAAACTTTTAATTTATGAGAAGTACATCTGACCATACCATGCCGTTCTAGTAACCCTCTTTGGATGAAATCGAAGAAATAGCACTCGGGACTTGATCGCCTGATATACATCGTCACACTGAACACAATGTTTTCTTTTATTGATAATAATAGTATTCTTATTGCAACGTAATTCAGGCACAATCTGATGCGTGAAGTTATTATTCACATATCCACCTTCCTCATGTCTAACACATCAAAATGATTACATATGACATGTCTTTCTTGTAACTTCTCATGTTCTCATGTTAATAGAGACATGATAATAATGGTTTGGTAAAAGGTCACAGGAAACAAATGGTTGAACTCAATCCGAGTCCTGAGTAGTGCAGTGGACGGATTGCAGTCTGGAAAACAGTTCATGGAAACAATTGTTCAGGGTTCTTAACCTCAAAAGACAAAGTAGTAAGGTTAAGGACTATGTATGGATAATGCATTACACTGTATCTCATCAGGTGCGTACTATAGATTGAATAATATAGATGTTGTCAAAACATTATAACATTACGGGTGGAGAAATTACAGTAATCATACTGCTGAAAGCGCATAAATGAGGCTTTCAGCTTGCAATCATGTTTCCCTAGACCAACTGCTGTCAACATGAATCGATATTAGAATGGATAACTGAGAACGCAATAGTACGGTCGAACCTATGCTTTTTTGTTAGCGTAGAGGGCTATACTAGAACAAGCTGATGGCCGTCTTGTTGATGAAGTATGACCCTCTTTCTGTTGACTATTCAAAGCGTTTATGCACCGTTGGACGTGCAAAGTCAGTTAGTTGAAGTACCCTTTCTATTCTTCCCAGGTAGACGTCAGTGTGGTTGGGCATGGAATGGTAATAAGGCATAATTGAGTGGTGGCATCGTGTTATTGATTGTGTACCGTTTTTTTGGCGGCGTGTAAATAACCGGAACACCCGGTGTTTATATGTATAACTGTTAGTTTAAAATGTATTACGGGTTATCAAACTCCTGTGAGTAGCCGTCTGTAGATCTGTCATTTCCGACAGCCTTTGGAGTGTATGCAACCTGCGGGCCTTAAGTTACAAGTCATGTTTGCAACTGCGCTTTGCCTAACCCGGTAAAATTTAGTGCTGACACCGGCAAATCCATAATCTTGTTACCGGCAATTTTATCAAATTGTTGAGAATATTTATATTAGATAATCTGACCTAACGAGTTACAGCGACAATTATCAAAATATTATCTCCTCACTGGTACTCTGAATTTAAGCTTACATGTGTTGGAATGCGCACACCTTTCATAGTCTCTCTCCATCTCTAAAATATATACATTCCACTCAATGTTCTCAAGCGCTAGCAGGTATCAAGCTTTTTCTCATCCATTTAGGGTCCTAAACATCACAGTGATTTAGTCATATATATTACATCGTATACAATCAACACTCAATGCATTTAACTTGTCTGCCAGTTTGAGTGTGTTCGTGATGGACAGATCCAATTCTACAGGTTTGAAGCTTTTCTCATTTTCACAATTAGGACAGTTCAAACATCCCTTTCGACATACTAGACTAGGGGCAACAGAAGCACCCATTCAACTGCCGATATTTTTTCCTTTATTGAAATGATATCTGGACATGTTTCAGTGCTCTGTAGAACATATTTTCATTATGCATACCATCCACTCGCTTTATCATGTGTTCGTTTAGTTGCTCTGCTATCGATGAGAACCGGTGGCTGGAAAATACGTTTTCCCATTGAGAAAAATTGCGCACACGCATACTTCAACAGATCGTCAGATAGATAAACAGCTGGATCGGTTGTTAAGTATCAACGAACGTCACTAAATCGTCCGTTTTGTTGCAGCACACGAGAAAAAAAGATATAAAGGATGAAAGGTTCGAAAGCTGAAAGATATGATTTTGCATCAATTGGGAAAAACAGATCTACTCTATGGATTGTTTCAAACAAAAATCAATAATTGAGGATGGGCCTATTCACATTCTGTTGAACAATGACTAATTCTAGGTTTCATAAAATCCTATCGTAAATTAGGTTATCCTTTTTACATTTAACGTAAATACTGCAACTATTAAAGAATGTAAAACGGAATGTGATTTAATTCACCGGACCAAATGAATGTGTTTCGTTTATTAAATAGAACGAAATATGCTTTTATTAGTGGCTTATTCAAGTTCCATTTTACCAATTAGAAATCAAATTCAAAACATGCCGCAGTGGAACCGAAAAATGAAACATCGCTATGAGAGATCACGGTTCAGATAGTAAAAAATAAAACAACATTAAATCAAGTAAGTAGATTTGCAAGAAAAGCATGACCCTCATACAGCATTCCTTTTAAAACACCGTTGAATCCGAGCACTGATAAATTACAAAGACTATTTAAACGGCAGGTCATGCGAAGAAACGGTGATCTAGTTGTGGTATTTGAATGACAATTTGTTGAGATAAAATTCAAAGAATGACAAATACTTTCAATTTGGCACAAACATTGGTATGAAACTTACACCTTTGTTGGTTGAGGAAAGTGACATAAATGAGTGAAATACTGCGCATAATCATCAAGATAAATCGAAGCGAGGATAAGTCGTTTTCACACAGACTGGGGGCAATTCAGAGGAAAACCTAATGTTCTATGAGAAAAGAATAAAAATAAAAGTATTTCATTTTTTCCTTCGAAATTATTTCAGCTTAAGCATCTGCAATAACATTTATCATAAATAATGAAGCCAGTTTCAAAGTGGGTACATCGAAGGTCGCTTTTATTCTATAAAAACATTTGGGGTATGCATTGATGGCTATAATAGAATGCTGATTAATTATTACATTGTAAATAAGTAAACTCTCCGTAGAAAAATCAGGAATAATGGATTTGTAGCCGTTGGACTGAAAACATCTCTTATATGGATAAATTCTTTTAAAGAGAAAAAGGTAAGTTCATAAATGCAACCTTTGGATTGCAACCAACTAAGTTAACAAGGTGCTTCGCAGTATTTTCTTTTTAAATTAACACATGAATACAGCCAGCTGACTTTCTTTAGTAAATGGGCCTGCGCCTAATGGAGGTTTTTTATACCAAATAACCCAGCGGCGCCATTTCTGTGATGAGTGAAGTCTGTCAATGTGCATCCCGGTTTTTCCACACACATGGATGAGATTGGATTTAGGAAAACCTTCGTGTACAGTGCCAACCTCATTCTGTTTGTGAATGAGTATATTCATCTTAAGAGTTTTCGCAACAGATCGGACTATCATGTGCTCAAAGTGGAACAGTTGTTTACAGGACTTTGACAAGGATGAAGGTTCAACTTGATTTGGCTATACGTCATAGGTGTCTAACTAAATGTGGCTACTTCGGGGGCGGGATTGAATATAAGAGCCCATTGCATCATGAACCCTTTGGTTGATCCACTGCTGCAGTTGGAGGAAACATTGATCGCTTCAGTAGTGAAACGAATATGAAATAATCACCAAAATGATTTATTATCCTAAATATTGGAACATACAGCGCGTTAAAACTCTCTTTTCGTTTATTTGTAGAGAATGCTACAATTTAAATAGAGTGAGTTGTAAATGCGGACAAAATTCAAAAACAATGGCAAGAGCACTGATAAATCAGCATATGTCTTCAAAAACAGACAAATGGTTCAATTGCATGAGAAGCCTTGAGTTCATGCAAAGTATTAAGATGAAGGTTTCATTCAATGATAAAAAACCATGATATAAACAAATTCAAAATATTGCGTTTACAGTTAAACACGAGTTTTTGCGACTGATGAGCGATGCTGGTAGCTTCCTATCAGCCGGAACAACAAAACCCAATTGATCGATTTACCGTCCAAATCCAGCGTACACTGTACGGAGGTAAAAATCAATATCGAGATATTTGTTTGTCACCTAGTTTGCGAAAATCACCGATTTTGGGAAATCCACAAAGCAAAAGAATAGTTATAGTTCATGCGTTTTTCAACTATGCGTATATAGGGGTTTTTCATTACCTCGCTTTTTAAAATTTATTTTATTCAGTAGACTATCATCGTGAAATTACGTCTACGTAATTACATGCAGATATATGCTGAATTCTAACACAATCGTACACTGTAACACTTCCCAGTAGAAACGGTCTGCTGTGTACACTGCTTGTTTAATCACACGATACTTAGCAACTCTCCCTGTTGTTGAACAAAAGACTGGCTTCCATACTGAAAGTACGACGCATTTAAGTTTGAAGAGTTTTCCGATCATATGCGGATTTGTCCGTCGAAAAACTCTGAAATTAAGTGCATCTATTTGCTTGACATTCATATGACTAATAACCGTCGGTGTGCACTAATTGCCCCCTTCTCATCCACCCCGCCTCCCACCCCACAACCCCCTCATCGTTTGTCGCTGCAGGGAAATAACCCTAATGGACAACAATTACACCACCATGACATTGGGTTCATCGGTTATCAGCCAGGTGTGACCACCTTGGACGAGTGC